GACATTTCCTAAAGCTCAGAGTGTTTGAAAGGGTGTTCCTCAGCCTACCATGGGTCCCGAAAATGTAGCAGTCCGATTGGCTCAAAAAAAAAAACAGGTAGAGTTTAAGCCTCCTTAAATAATCTTTGTGTGTCAGCTCAGCTGACAAGCCATGATCTATCCCCAAGTGCTGGGCCGACTTTTTAAAGACAGCATTTACTCTTAGAACCTTTATGTAAACAAAGGAAGAAAATCTTCATGATGAGGGGGGTGAGACACTGGAAGGTTGATAGAGAAGTCGTGAACACCCCATCATTTGAATTGTTCAGAATCAGGTTGGACGGGGCTTTGACGATCTAGCAAAAGATGTCCGTGCCCATGTCAGGAGATTTGGACTAGGCAGTATTTTAGGATCCCTTCCGACCCAAACTGTTCTATGATTCTATGTACCTTTAGGCTGTAGAACTTCTGCTGCCATTCCCTCACTTTATCCTCCTCCATGTTAAACTTTTCTATTTTAAACTCAGTGAAGGTATTTTAGGATAGGGAGTATTCATTCTGTTCCAGTAGCTCTGTCTTTATCCACCTCTAGGGAGACACAGAGAATGGTAAGTTGGAGTACAGGCGCGACTGCGGGTTCCATTTCTAATTCTGCCACAAGCTGACATGGGGTGGATGTATAGCGTATAGCTTTACCACATCTCTTTCTGTAAGCAAGCAGGTTCTTCAGTAGAACAAACCCATTTATTCACCTGAGTTGCAGGGCGACTGCGAGCCATCTGATGTAAAGAAATGAATAGGAAAGGGAGGAATTTAAAAGAAAAAGTTGGGAGGATTTACCTTCTTCACTTTTGCAAAGGCAAGCACAGTGTTTGCTGCTACTGAGGCATGTAAACTAAAACTCAGTCTGAAAGTTTTCTTTTATTCTGTTTGCCTGAGGCTGAGATCATTCTTAAAACTTGGAAAGTGCTGGAGAGGCTAAATGGAAGATAATCTGAAGGAAGTTAGGGCTGCATATTTTTCACTTCTGTTTTTTTTTAATGAGATTCTCTCACTGGCCATAGTTAAATTACGCTTGGAGCAGTAGCAGACTGAACAACAGATTGATTTTCTCCTCCCTCCATCCCTAGCAAATATAAATTCAATGCGCAAAGCTTGCACTCCATCACTTCCTCCTGTAGTGAACTAAACTGCTTATAATGTGAAATTTACTCACACGGATGGGAGATGGCAGGGGTTGTAACTTTTTATCGGACGCCGCAGATCTTTAATTTTACAGATTTTTGTAAAGAAAGGTATGTTTTATTTTCAATTTGCCATGTATTTTTAATTTGTTTATCTTTAAATAATGTCTAACTTATACTCTTACAAATCGGTATTTGTATACCGATTTGCAAGAGTATTTCCTGTTTAGTAGGTTGCCTTTACATGAAGTTTCCTCTATAGTTATTGGTATTGCGGCTGTAAGACTGCAACTTCCATGTGATTTATTAATGCTCCTGTTTTACAGGGTGAAAATGAATCCCATTTGAACAGAAAACACTGTGTTAAAATACCTTTATCCTAAAAAAAACCCAGATTATTCTGGTTTTAGTATAACTGAACTCTATTGAATTGGACTGTGCTTACCATGAAAAGGTAAATCTACAGAGGTACTGGTTATCCCTGTGCATAAAAAATAAAAATATTTTTGTTAGTGTATATAACAACATAAACACTGAAAAGGAATTTAAAATCTTGTCCACAATATAGTATCCTGTAACAGAGAAAGAAATAAACATATGAAAGAAAGGTGAGATGTGCAATTACACACATATATTACCAGTTTATCTGTACTCAGATGATAATCATTTAGGAAAATGCTGGTAGAGAATTTTTGCATAAATCATTTCTTTTTCACAGAACTGGGGCCAAAGATAGCAATGCTTGACACCTAGCCACTCTATTCTGTATTTCAAATGCAGGTATCTTTTGACTGATAGCCAGCTGAATATGAGCCGGCAGCGTGACCAGGTGGCCAAGACAGCCAACAGCATCCTGGCTTGCATCAAAGCTCGTGTGGCCAGCAGGACTAGGGATGCAATTGTCCCCCTGTACTCAGCAATGGTGAGCCCACACCTCGAATACTGTGTTCAGTTTTGAGCTCCTCGCTACAAGAAAGACATGGAGGTGCTGGAGCATGTCCAAAGGGCTACAAAGCTGGTGAAGAATCTAGAGAGCAAGTATAAGGAGGAGTGGCTGAGGGAACTGGAGTCATGTAGCCTGGAGAAAAGGAGGCTCAGGGGAGACCTTTTTGCTTTCTGCAGCTACCTGAAAGGAGGCTGTAGCGAGGTGGATGTCGGTCTCTTTTCCCGAGTAACAAGCAATAGGACGAGAGGAAACAACCTCAAGTTGCGCCAGGGGAGGTTTGGATTGGATATTAGGGAAAATTTCTTCATGGAAAGGGTTGTCGAGCATCGGAACAGGCTGCCCAGGGAAGTGGTTAGTTCACCATCCCTGGAGGTATTGAAAAGACGTGTAGACGTTGTGTTTAGGGACATGGTTTAATGGTGGACTTGGCAGTGCTAGGTTGACGGTTGGACTCGATGATCTTAAAGGTCTTTTCCAACCTAAATGATTCTATGATTCTGTGATCATTGATCAGAGGAAATTGGACCAACAACAGTGATCCTATTTATTTGTTTATCATTGACATCCACAAACAAAAAGCAAATGCACCAAATTATATGCTTAAACGTATTTTTTAATTGAACAATACAATTTTAGCGAGATGCTTTATTCCCTCTCGTGTTCCTTTGTATAACCAGTTTTCACTGCAAAACAGTAATTGGATGTTACTGTAAATTCAAGCTGCTACGTGAGGCTCAGAACATTCAAAAAGGAGGACTGGGAAATATTCCTCTACCTTCATCAGTATCCTAAATATAAACGTACTGCTTTCACACTGCTATTGGAAGATGGATCAAATGGACCGCGTAACGCTTTTCAAATCCTACTACAAGTCAGGCACCTTAGTTTCCACTAATTTGGTGCAGACTGAGGGTGCTTAATGCTGCATAGTGATGTGCTTATCAGGATGTCTTTTACTGATAAATTAGACACGGGCAGATGATGCACTTCTCCACCTTGTAAATGAGAGAGAATAATACCTAGATGATCAATGAGCAGTGGGTCATGTTGCCACAGTCACAATGTGGGATACGATGGTTTTTCCCAGTGTTGTGTTTTATCATAATGCGTTAAGGACTGCAGCTTTTACAATGTTTGATACTTTTTTCTCTCATACATTTTAGTGTTAAGATGGCAGAATAACCATGGGAGACTGGAATTTCCTTGGAGGCATTTTAGAGGAGGTCCACATTCATTCTACTATTATTGGAAAGATTTGGCTAACGATCCTCTTCATATTTCGAATGCTTGTCCTCGGAGTGGCAACTGAGGATGTCTGGAATGATGAACAATCAGAATTCATATGCAATACAGAACAACCTGGTTGCAGAAACGTGTGCTATGATGAGGCCTTTCCCATCTCTCTCATAAGATACTGGGTCTTGCAAGTTATATTTGTGTCTTCCCCTTCCTTGGTGTATATGGGTCATGCCTTATACAGATTAAGAGCCTTGGAAAAAGAGAGGCAAAAAAAGAAAGCTCAGGTAAGAGTGGAGCTTGAAAGCACTGAATTAGAAATGACTGAAAATCGGAAAAGGCTGGAGAGAGAACTCAGGCAATTGGATCAAAGAAAGCTAAACAAAGCACCCCTTAGAGGCTCTTTGCTCTGCACTTACGTGATACATATTTTCACAAGATCTGCAGTGGAAGTCGGTTTTATGATTGGGCAGTATCTTCTTTATGGCTTTCATCTAGATCCCCTTTATAAATGTCAGAGAGATCCATGTCCAAACACAGTTGACTGTTTTGTATCTAGACCAACAGAAAAGACAGTGTTCATATTATTCATGCAATCAATAGCAACTGTATCATTGCTTTTAAACATCCTAGAAATTATTCACCTAGGATTCCGAAAAATTAAAATGGGACTCTGTGGGCAGAACAAAAACAAGGACGACCCTGACAATTTCTACATAAACAAATCGAAGAAATACTCTGTGATACCACACCCTTCTTTAGGACTATCCACCACCCCTCAAAAAACTCTTGCTTCTGCACTTAGCAGTTACACCTTTTTAATGGAAAAGCAAACTGACAGTGCCGTCTACCCGGTTCTAAATCCTCCTCCCATGTTTCAGTCTGTGCAAAATAACCGTACAGAAAGCAGCAGCAATTACACCCATCGCAATCAGGAAAACAAATCGCCAAAGAAGAGGCCAGCTACAAATGCTTTAGACAATCAGGCTCAGAATACTAGCACAAATAATAACGAAGGCTTGCTTGGCAAGCTTGAGACTGAAGCCTGCGATGCTCAAAAAGAAGCTGAAAAGAAACACTTCCTTGTTGGTACTCAGAACGCAAATATAGCTTCGAGCAGGTGCTTGACAAGCTTTGCTGAAATGCCATCTCAAACTTCACTGCAACCCGATAAAACTTCCTTTCCTATTACTGGTTGCAGAAGACAACATGGAATCTGTACATCTTGGAACTGCTCAGCAATGGCTGAGAGTGCAGGAACTTCGACAAATTCTCTTCCAAAGAACAGCAATGGAAGACAAAGCAGTTTCAGTGCAAACAAAGCCCAACCTCCTTACAATGCTGACATAAAAAATTCTAGCCGAACAGACACTCCAGACTGTACAGGGGAGGTGAGCTCAGAATCTAAACAAAGTAGAAACTGCGATAGTCCTAAGCCTTTCTCTTTGTCTAGGCGACTGTCGCTGTCAAGTAATGCCAGCAGCAGGCGTGCCCCCACTGATCTTCAAATATAGTGTGAATTAACCCATGAATTGCACTAGTCAGTGTTGGGATAATTACCGAACGTTGCAACATAAGCAAGACCTATATATATGGGTAGCTAAATCGTTCAACTTTAACCAGCTGTTTCACATAGAAAAGTTGTGTAGCCTTTGGAATATTACCTAAGTAACTTCTAAACAGTCTTTTTACTTCCTCTGTAATGAACGGGTGGCTTAGACCTCATTGTATAAACTTCTACACTACCCTTCCAGCTAAAAAGGAAAAAATACATCATATAAATCCACATATTAGGAAAAGTGAGGCATAAAATCACAGCTGATATTATCTAAACTGAAAAAAAAAGTAGAAGACAAAATTTACAGTCTAACAATATATTTTACGAAGATCAGTGAATGAAATTAGGCTAAAGATGGCACTGGCACTCTCAGGAGACATTAATTATTGGTAAATATGTTTCTGCTTAATCTCTCTGAAAATTCAGACAGACCTTTGATAGCTGTCTGAAAGCAGAATGTCGGGCATATTCCACTGTTTGAACTGCATTAAATACAAAAAGAACAAAACGTTTGATACACGTATCACTAATACTTTGACTCCATAGTACACTTTTTTCAGTGTATCACCACTGACTTCCACAGCAATAAAATCAGAGTGAATGTCTTATCGTATGCTGTTACCATTAAATAAGCTGTTACATTTTTGAAGCATCATGAAGTATTGAGTTGTGAGCGTTAACTGTGAGATTTTGCATAACACTGATAAGCTAACAATTATTATTTTTTTTAATCAGAAAACAAGTTCCTGAAATTGATTATTCTGAAATTTTGGACTTCACAAACCAGAAACCTTACGGGGGGGGAGGGGGGGGAAGTAGTACCTTACTACTTTCAGTTACAATGTCAAAAAACGTATAAAAGGTTTATCAAACTTTAAAACTACTCCTTTTCTGGATGCTGTGGGGGTCCATCTGTCCCCTGAATTCCAACAAACTTTTAAATCAAAGAATGCTTATAGTTTTTTAGAAGGAGCATGCTTTTTATAGAGGTAGTAAGACAAATAAAGGACATTTATCTACTAGATGCTCTGGTCCATATAGTGTAAGGCAAGTTCCTTGAAACATCTTGAAAGGATAAAGGAGGGACAGATGAACAAAACACTGTGTTACATTTGTAATCAAGACTTCTATGAATGAAATACACTTACTTGAGTCGCACAGCACTGACAGGCTGTAAATACCTGATGAGGTGGTCACATCTGGGATGCATTAGCATATACGCGTGTATTTTTTACTAGTGAATTTCACTTAGTGTATGTGTACTGGAAAAACAATTTGTGAGAGGTAGCATCACGATGTTACGGCATCACTAAATTCTTACTGTGCATTATCATTATGCTTACAAGCCAGCCATGTTTCAGATTGGCCAAAGACTGTACAATATTAAGAAAAAAAAAGGCAGAAAACCTAAAGGCTTTTTCACTTGCAGCAGCAGCATTAATTTGGCCCTGTCCACATAAGAGATAATGCATTAACACTATTAAAACTAGTCACTGTAGATTTCTCTCTAGCAGCTATTCTTCTCACCTCTAGGATTGCTTTGCATGTATACATAAATACAGCCCTATGATAATTCCGCTCACACTGTAAAATTTAACATTGTGTAATATACAGGAATGTACAGAAATGTATGGTGTGATTTAGCTCAGTTGATACAGCTACTGTGGCTTTAATACTTGCATTTCTTGATAAGTAAGTTTCTGTGGGCAATAACTGTACTAATGCATGTTTTGCATTTAATGTCTCTGTAATAAAAAGCTTAGTATTTAATGCTCTCTGCTCCCACTGTCTAAATAAGAGAAAATTAGCATTTAGATGCTCACATATGGGATATGACATTTACATTTCTGCTGGTTCAAGACAAAATATAAAAGAATTGGGTGTTCCGCTGCTGACAGGATATTTATTACCTTTTTTTTTGTGTGGATATGGGTCAAACTTTCTATTTCATCACATCACCTCACGGACAAAAAACTTAGTGAAAACTGAAGACATTGCAGTAGAGTGTGCAGAAAAAGTGTGAAAAGACCCTAACATCGCAGGTGCAAGATTATTTGTTTGGTTCTTTTTTTTACAATAAACAGATTTTATCAGTAGATACCACCGCGTTTCACAAAAATAAACCAGTATAACCGCTTCCGGTTTTAAACCAGGCTCAGGCAAAAGACTTTCTTTTCGATGTGAAGATTTCACCGCGTATAAAAAAACCTTGGAGCCCCTTGGATAGGCGACTCTGCAGCTGCAGCTGCGAATCCC